GGTCTTTTTCAACTTTTAAGAAAGTGGGTTAACTGCGCGATTATGATCTCTGGTGGCCCCACCCCAAATCTCCCCTGCCGGCGCGAACGCATCTCACTGAACGCGGAATTTATAAGACAGGATTTTCGCGCGTCGCGCATATAAAAGATATATTATATCTGTCGACTCGCCGGCTACGTATGTGCGAAGGAGTTGAGGTCGGATTTTCTGCAGCGTGATTTATATACATTTCGCGTCTCCTGTTACCGTCTTCTCGCGTCGCGAGATAACTTCATGTTTTGCGAGATAAGTCGACGAGGACGGACGGTTCCGCACTTTGGGATATTTCTCTAATCTAAATCAGTAGCACGGATGTATTTTAGTATAATAGGTTTCTTGTGTCTGGATATTTAATTTTTGCGCGAAATGCAAGCTCAAGGATACTTCAATAGCTTCGGTTCACAGGTGGTTTGGTTTCTTGTCTGGGTGTTTAATTTTTGCACGAAATGCAAGCTCGAGGATACTTCAATAGCTTCGGTTCACAGGTGGTTTGGTGTACGTCAACATAGCGCGACTCTGCTGTTCTCTCTCGGTAATTAACATACGACCGGCGCATTTTGTACATTCTGACGCGGATTAATGAAATTTCACGGGCGATTGTGAATTAGTACCGTTTTGACAGACGTCCGAAACGCGCCGACCTTGTTATCCCGGCCCGCGCGATAGCCGGATGCTCGTTACCTTAAGAAGAACTGTTCAGAGGCTCTAGCCTCTGTCTCAGAAGAAGGTTGAACGTGAGTCTATTTTCGTTCGACTCTATTTGTAAAGAACCATGAAGCCGTCCCGTTTCATAATCCAATTTTCTGCAGGATGCGACAGAAAATCTGACACAATTTCCGGATAAAGTAATATGAACGTGATACATTGGAATATAACGTTTATCTTATATCGAGAGAAAGCCGTCTACGAAGTCGAGAAATTTCATTATGAACGTCGCGATTTTACGAATATTGTGAATAAAAAGTGTGATCGATAAAAAGGAGAAAAATATTTTAATTAAAGTACGTTCGATACGTCCGGTGCTTAAGCTTCGCGTTGAGACGCAGTATGATCTCCTCGTTAGAGGCGCAGAATCAAATTTAATCGCGCCTGCAGCAGCGTGCAGATGTTCGCGTATCGCGCAAGTAACGCTGTAACATAGCGAGTAGAGATCCGCGTTCATCTATTACTTGTGCTACAAGTACGTTAGAAAATTTGTCTGGATTTAAACGCGTACAAATTGCGCGAGGTGATGCAATGTACTTTCGCGATAAATCATTTGCCATCGCAATATCAATCATTGCTCACACAAAATAAATATAGCACTTTATTTCAAGTTCAAACATTATTGCGGTCTCACTGGAGAGCGAGAGCTCGAGATACATAGAAATTTGACCGGTTTAATTTTCCCTTTAATCCGTTATTATAAATTATAATTCGCGATAGAATGTGAGGCAGACGTCTATTGATTATAATTAAACGTATTCTCTGAGCGTCAATTATAATTCTACCGCGAGTTGCCAATTGTGCCTAAAATGCACGAGAAGTAAAATTACGAATGTGTAAAATATGTCCGTACGTTCACGCGCATTACTTTTCAAAGGCGGGGCCAAAGTTACCGAACACCCCGAGTGGGATCGCTGGATGAATAATGCGAATTCGCTATTGCAAATATCGCGAGAGTTGAGGCAAGATCCGCCAAGTTTCGGCTTTGTTGCTCCACGGGCGAATCCATCACGAAGGGAAACGGATGCTGACGCGCATCCGACAACTTTAATTACTTCTCCCGCCCGGATGTACATTCGGGGAAGGGAGAAGGGCAGAGAGCAGGAGGGGAAAAAAAAGGGACTGTTAGCTATGTGTTCGAGCGTACGTATCTTGCGGGATTTTCACGGGCAGGAGTGCAGTTGAATTTTTCGAGTAGGACTTGCGCGTTTCGACGATTACGATTTGCTGCAATTTTTCTCGATTTCCTCCACGCCGAGTGCCCTCGAGAAGCCTCGCGGAGCTTCCAACAGCACTTCGCTTTATATCAGTTTATCACGTACGCTCCATTTACCTCCCAGGGACTTAACTTTTTAGATCCACCTTCTGTATCGCGCTTTTTTTCCCCTCCCCGTTCTCCGTCCCGCCCGCGTCGCGTAGATTTCACGAAAGTATTTATATCCCCGGTTGCGTTTTACGACGCGTTAAAAATGCGACTTGTGCAAGCAAATTTGCGCTTAAGGTCAAAAACGGGGAAAATTTCACATTTAATGTCCGTCCCGTCGTCCGCTTTTTAGCGCGCGAGAAGAAATTCTGCGCGACGCGAAAACTCGTGGCGATCAAGAGAAATCCACCGTGACAAAGAGCTTCCGTGTCATATCTCCCCCGTAATGATTCTCCGCTCTCTCTCTCTCTCACCGTGGACGAGAACTTTCCAAATACACCTTTGCGCGCACTTCTCCGCACCTGTATTCTTCTTCTTCTTCTTCTCGGTTTTATCGGACGATAAGCTTCCGGCCGCGGCAGAGGAAAAGTGTTTGCGTTTACAAGAGGTGCGCCGGGGCTCACCGATTACCAGCAGAAGCCGCCACTCGTTTCGATAGCGGAACTTAAGTAGTTACGCGAGTAAATCTCCTTTACATTAAAGTTCCTGAATCACCCCAAGTTCCCGCGATCGGCTGGTAGCAACGTATAAACTGATCGTCCGAGAAAGCACTCCTAGTCTCAACCCCCTAAGTGGCTGCGCCGCGGAGAAGCGACTCGACCCTCTTACGATCATCCTCGAACTTGACGTAACCTCTCGTCGCGTTAGGAGAAAAAAATTATTTCGGCGTCCCTCCGTCTCTTATTTCTTCTTCCGAGTTTATCGAAAGAGTTAAAGCCACGCGCTCCGAAAGGAAGCGAGAAATAATGCGTGTAAACGAGGGGAAAAAAATAGGGGAAAAGCTCTAATTGAGTTGTGTCATAAATGTGACCGTCACGTCTTTAAAATCTCACTCGTATGCTCTCTTAAAAGTTTTCCTCTGGACGTAGGGTACACAAACCAATGTTTTCGCTCAAATATTTGCCCGGCTTTAACGTCGTTCCTTTAACAGAGATTCATATATATCCCGAGTCCGCTGAAATCTTCCTTGAGATCATATTTCTCGGTGGAAAGCCGCGCAGAGCATTTTACCGCCGCAAATTGCACTTACTTATTAACACATTGGGTCGCATAACACAATAAAACGGAAAAGGTATGATTTCGATTTTGTCTCGTCGAAATAGAAACTACGGTACAAGGTATAGCGCAGCTACAAGAAATACAAGTTGAGATGTCAGAGAGGTATTTTTACTGTACGCCTGAGAGGCTAAAATATTTTAGCGTTAAAATTCATGCTTTCCTCTCCTAAGTGTCTTCAAATATCAAGAATATTCGCCTCGTTGCTGTTTATAACATTCATGACGAATTACGCGAATACTTGCTACGGCATATTTACTGAATTAAGTTGTTTGCGTGATGTTGTTAACGAAAACAACGGGGAAAATGTGAAATGCATTACCCCAGATGTTGTTACTTTTAACTAATCACACCGTGCTATGAATAATGCGAATTTACTTTTAAGCTGGCAAAGTAATTAGAGTCGCTAACGAGATGCGGCTGTGTATTGCGGATCGGCGTGAATACGCCGATATGTGCGGGCTACGAAAATGGACGTTTGTTTTAAAATAAAAGAATACCTAATGTCTCATTTAAATATGTAATAAAAATTGTGGCCGCACTGTTCTTTATACGAGATTATTTTAATTCGAATTTTTTATTCCGAGGAGCTTCCTGCGGTACTGCAACGTTTGCAAATTGTCGTATTTACGAAAACTTCGTCAGTCTATTCGTAAAGCTTGTTTCTTTCTGCTTCACAATTATGCAAATATAATAAAGGCCGTAATATATTCTCGATAATCGAACAATTTCTTTCGCTTTTGCTTCTTTTCAAGCGTAAAAATACAGCGAATTTCTTCATTGAAAAATGGAAGCTAATAGCGCGTGTGATTCACATTTTGGAGCAGCAAAATTGCGGTTGGAGGTTCGCGTGTCCTTTCACGACCTCGGGCGCGCAAGAACCGATTCCCCTTCGAATAAAATAGGAGCACACTCCTTTTCGCGAACCGTTTGTACCTTTTTTCCCTCCCCCATTCATTTCCCCGTTTACCGCCGGCGATAAAACTTTGAACATGATCGAGAAAATATTTTTCATTCTCGCCGATCGTACTTCTATGCACTGATTGAACCAATTTTATTCTTTTTTTTTGCGATACCGGGTGCGCACTTTCCTCTCATTTCTTTCCCGTCTTTTCTCCCGCTTTGTTCTCCTTTGGATGACGAGAAAAATCCCCGGTCGATGTAAATTTCTCGCAGAGGGAAGGGAAAAGCGTTGATAGAAATCCAATCATTAGGTAAAACAAGTTCGTAACTAAATGACAAAGGTAGAGAAGTAAAAGCACTCATTTTAAATTAAAAGTATGAAACAAAAGCATACCTTGAAAATAAGCTTCGCATGAATAATCTCCCGTTTTTGCTACCAAGTATTGCCTCGCGTCGTAAAGAACTATATTTTCTTGCGAACGTTATCGCTTTCGCTACAAATGAATAATCCAGCTACGCGCGTTCGATGAAATTTTAATGCACAACTCGTACTTTTTATCCCTCGCAACTTCTTTCCCGCGACTTCTGTTACGTCCTATTTGTAAGAGTGAGCGTCCTAAATTCAGATACACCAGCGAATGCCCCGATATATTAGTTCCGTGATATCTGATATTCGTCGAGAAGCGTCCGCTTCGACAAACAGCCGCGAAAAACATTCGTCCCATTTTCCGCAAACCCGAACTTCGGTCGTGGACGAATGCGGGAGGATCCCCGCTTATATATCGCCCGTGCCGTTGAATTTATTCATTATCGGGGGGGGGGGGGTTGCGAGGGGGGCAGAGCTGCTCGCGCGTGCGTGAGCGGGGAAGCTCACCTGGAAAATAGTGACCTTCTTCAGCACCGAGAGGTTCACGTGCAACGCCAGCTCGGTCTTGAGCTTGTCCGGGAGTAGACCGAGGGCGGTGTTGATGTCACCCCCGCCCTGTATCCTGCCGCGCGACCAGCTGTAGTCGTACCACCTGAGCACCCGACGTTTCATACCGCCCGGCACCTTATGGTGCCTCATGTAGGTCTTGGCGCCGTCCAGGAGCCTCTCGAACTCGAGGCGGTTCGCGTTCCTGTTCGTGATGACGTTGCCGACCTGGCCGACGATGGTCGCGAATATGAAGACGCCGATCAAGTAGCTGACTATCGTGAAGACGTACCTGCGAATCAGGAAGGGAGAAAGAGAGCCGATCAGTCCGAGGGGGATGTGATCAGTGTCCTCCGTTTATGGACGAGCGGCCCCCGCCGGAGCCTTCCTCCTCTTTCTCTCTTTTATTTTCTCCCTTCTTTCTTACTTGCCTTCCTCCCGTTCGTTCCTCTCTTTCTTTTTCTCTCTCTCTCTCTCTCTCACACACACACTCTCTTTCGAAATACCTCGTACACGTCCTTCCACCCTTTCTCTTTCGTGCAAGCCCTGTCTCTTCCCCGATCACCCAAGTCTCTGTCACATACGGATATGCACAACACAGGCACGCGCGCTCACGTACGCACATACACACGACCAACCGCAGACAACTCGCTCTCGTGCTCGTGCTCTCCGTTTGATCTCTTCACCGATTCGTAAAACGGAAAGAGCGACGGTGAAACGCGTACTTTGCATTCGGCCGCAGAGTCGTTCGTTGGTATTCTGACTGAACGTGATTGCTGAATCGATGAATAGTCGAGTGTCATTACGGATCGTTAAAATTCCTCGATTCCCGAAGCCTTAACGAACTCGGGACCTAGAACCCGATTCTGACACAAGTTTAATGGCTAACCGAACGTTTAGACGTTCTGAAACAACGCATTTGATAATAATTCCTCAAAAATTTCGCGACTGCTAGATTAATCCGGCATTTTAAAACTCCGAATCCATAAAACTTTACAGCTTACTTTACAGTCAGCTTGGAAAATGTTCGCTGCCATATTCTGTAATGTATAAATTTTATATTCTTTTTAATGGATTTCCCATAGCCGACTTTCATTGGATTGGATTTTATATACCCGAGTTTCATCGATAAATTTCGAATAATTCATGATCGAGAGTAATAGACTTTTAGCAAGCTCAGCCGCGGGAAAAGGAAAACAAACGGTGAAATCATATTCTTCAATCTCAAATTTCATTTAGTTGAGAGCTCACAAGATTTAAAGCCGCGGTTAAAATAACGTCCCGTGATTTCGGGACACTTCGTATTCTCTGCCGTAATGGTATCGACACGATCCCTTCTGACCGACATGCTCGCGACCGACAGTTCTAACTCTTTGCCCTGTTCTACTGCGTTTCACGATTCACCGTTCCTCTAAAGATATACTTTCCGCTTTTCGTGTATCGACACACAACTGGCACACGCATACATGCACCGATATGCGAAAACGCGCGCGCATACACACACACACGCGCGCGCGCCAAGCATGCCTTTTCCGTTTTCCATCGACAGCCTCAGATCCATTCGATTTTCTAAAGAAAACATCCTTCCGCCCTTCTTCCTTTTGTCCCTTCCGGCGCAGAATTCTCGCGTTTCCGCCGGCCTCGAACTTTCCCCCCTTTCGGTATTTTCTCCCATACGTACATCCCCTGTGACGGCCTTACCCCGCCACTCGACCCATCAGTTCCAAGGATGGGCGATGTTCTATCGATTAATCGGCGCTCGAGCAGTTTTCTTTTCATTCGAGCATCGATTATTTCTTTGGTATCTTAATACGAAAGTATACACATACACCCGGTTACGTTTGATTACATAAATATTTCTTCAGAACAATTAAATAAATTTAATAGTAATTATGTTGTTTAAGAAAACTGCAGAGAAGATCAAATCAAGGCTTGTATTGGCTTGATTAAATATTTTTTCGTAACTGATTATCGACCCTCCTTCTTAACATCGCTCATTCCTAGAGTACTTCGTCCTTTTTCGCTTTTGTATTGGTTTTCACCTCCGCCGTTTCGAACACCACGGTTTAATTTCGTTCAGTACACGTACGCGCACGAATGTCCATTTAATCTTCGCCGGCTAATAAAAACTTTTTTTATACCTTTGTGCTATCGCACAACTGTTTAGCTTTCTCGCCAAGTCGAGTTGCCGTCGTACTATGAATCGCTTACTTGCTCGTTTCGCTGCTCACGTTCAGCGATTTTCGTTGCATTAACGCGAACGTCTCATTGAATTTTAAAATATATCACAAATGATGAATCAGCATGTAAATCTTGAGGTCTTAATTACATATTTATCACTATGACTTTTATTCCAATAAGGTACTAGACTTATACATAAGCAATGATTTTGAAAATAAGAAATTAAGTGGTATATTATTTTTTAAAAACTGAAAATTATAATTATTTAATTAATTATTAAATCGCATCAGAAAATTCACCGGTATTACGTAATTGAGAAAAGTGACTGGAATAATTGTCTCCTATTAAAAAACATTTTTTAAATTTATTGTAAAAAAATAAAATGTCTATTTCGACCTATTTGTCAGATTTTGTAATATGCACCTATATTTTATGATTTGACATGTATTTCGTGATTGATATGAAATGAATTTCGTTTTTACGGTATTTTTAGTCGAACATTTATAAAATTGTAAAATCTGTAAAAACTCTAAACATTATGTATGTATTACATAAAATCGAAACATATCTGTATAAATGAATATTCATATTTTCAGATATACAATACTAAATTCGATTGGCACATTATAAGTTCAACGTGTGCAAATATATACGTAAACTGAATGTAATAAGCTGAATTTATCATTTAACAAAATGTATCGTCAAATATTTGTTAATACATTTTGAAAATAAGTTAACTGTGTACAAATACAACACGAGTAATTAAAAAATTGTATCAATTGAATTAATTGCAAGAAAATTTCACGATAAAAAAATATAATTTTTGTACGCGTATACCGAAGATTAAATTTATTCCACAGTTTATAAATGTAAATTTGTAATTTATAAGAGTGTAAAAGGGATGAGTTTCTGTGCTCGTTAAATGGAATTGAAAATCGCAGTTTATCCATCATGCGACACTCCCTCGTAAGAGAATGAATTGCTCATTTTCTTAAGAGTTTGTAACTGGAGAAAATTGTTTATTTCTTGAAACTTTGTAACTAGGGAGATTCGCATCTACTTGAGCGTAATTAACTACCTCGGAATACGAGCATACGCTTCGGCTAGAAGTCGCCAGCAAAGACTAACAAGCCTCTTCTAAATGCATAGACGATGTCAAAATGATTTAATTGTTTACGACTAAAAATTATTCGTCGATAACTTTCTCGATATTTTCGTAAAGCACCAGTCTCCTAAAGTCAAAGTCGACTTTAAGACAATAGAATCCTCGAGTGGTAGATAACGTAATTAATCTAGAGCAGCCCGTCTATTTTAATCTTAAACGCGATATCTAATTCCGTCGTACAGTCGAACTTAGCCTCGGAATAGCGAGCGTAAACAAGCACATGAATCAAGGAGACACACGCTATAATCCGTGACAATTTACAGAAGCGCGGCGAGCTCGAGTAGCGAACTATCGAGGATCGAGAGCGGAAGTCTTGACCCCCCGAGGAAACCTCCGCGGGCTACGGGTCCATCGTCAAATCATGGGAAACCAGTTTGCGATTCGCTCGTAACTCGAGGTAAAGCGAGATCAAATTTGACCGCGGCTAAAATGAGATTCCGACCGATCGTTCTCTCGCCGTCTAGAGAGTCCTACAGACAAATCGATCTTCCTGCAAGCGCAGGATACTCGTCTGGTCATTAAGCGATCTTGCCGTCGGGCTACGAGCCAAGAAGCCAGGCAGCCGGAAACGCGCGGAGTCAGCGGCATTTAAGCCATAAAGTTTGCGAATCTCGCAAAATGATTTGTTCGTCACGTGTACTTAGTCGACTTCCGAATGGCGAAATATCGTTTGTTTCGCGAATGATCTACTTATATGGATCTTTATTCCCCCAGTCCACGCGCGACAGTAAATTATTTAGGTTACTTTATATAAGACAAGGCAATTAACGAGATAAAGATGAAAAAGTAAAAAGAATATTTTTCGTAATCTTCTACAAATATGTGTCTTAAAATATTCATTCTTGCATTTGGTATATCATCTTTCTCATAGCGATGCATATTTTTGTCTTAGAAGATACTCGATTCAAGTATAACGTGTCTCGCGTTTGATCGCGTTTGATCGCGTTTCTGTTGAAGTATAACAAAGGGTGTATTGTACAAGCACCGTACAAACTTGTCTCGCTGACGGTACGAGTTTCACGGAAGGCCCTTGCAATTTCCCGGCCGCTTGAGTTAGCGTGCCAACAGCTTATGAGCTTTATCGTTCATTGCCATTCTAATTGGCGAGACCCGCTGCCAACTTTAAACCCAAAGAAAGACAGACAAAGAGAGAGAGAGAGAGAGAGAGAGAGAGAGAGAGAGGAGGGGAGGGGGAGAGAGAGAGAGAGAGAGAGAGAGAGAGAGAGAGAGAGAGAGAGAGAGAGACGAAGAAACAGAGAGAGACACGGAGAGACACAGAGAGACAGGGAGAGACAGGGAGAAACACGGAGAGACACAGAGAGACAGGGAGAGACAGGGAGAGACACGGAGAGACAGGGAGAGACAGGGAGAAACACGGAGAAACACGGAGAGACAGGGAGAGACAGAGAGAGACAGAGAGAGACAGGGAGAGACAGGAAGAGACATGGAGAGACAGGGAGAGACAGGGAGAGACACGGAGAGACACGGAGAGACAGGGAGAGATACGGAGAGACAGGGAGAGACAAAGAGA